ACATTTTTTTTCAAGCATAAAAAACTTACGTTCACAGTGATAGAGGGGAAAGGAGACAGAATGAAAGGTAGGATAAATGGAAGTGAAAGGTGTTTTTTTCAGAATATCAGTAAAAAATGTAAAGGGAATAAAAGCACTGAACAAAAAAAGCTGAGAGAGCATATTCATGTCATACTGTCTAAAAGTAAAACCAAAAGAGAAATTGTTGTTAATCTCAACAGGGAAAATATTTTTTACAACAAAGATTATCAATGACTGAATTTAGCAGGACAAACATTATGTGCTCTCTGATACAAGAGGTACACAATATCAATAAAATATCTGTGAAAAATGTATAGAAATCTCTCATAAGATCACAATAAAAAAATTAAAATCCAGAACATAAGGTATTTTATAAGAAAATGTCACAAAAAAACAACAAAATTTAAAGAGACTAAATGGGATGCCTGAACATGGACTGAATCCTAGACAAAAAAAAAAAAAAAAAAACACAAAAAAAGGCACTGTAGGGACCACAGAGAAATTTAAATAGACTGTTTTAGGTGATAGTATTAATATAATGTTAATTTTCTAGGTGAAATAACTGTAGTCTAGTACAAGAAATGTTCTTAATCTTAGGAGATAGATGTTGATATATTTTAGAGGCAAAATATCATGATATCTGTCCTGCATTGCCCTTTCAAATGGTTTAGGGGGGAAAAAGTAGAGGGGGCAGGTAGTAAAGAGGGAGCAAGAGAAATATATTTGTGATGAAGTAGCTCCATTTCTTAATTGTGGTGGTGGTTACATGAGTCTACAGGTGATAAAATGCAACACAACTGTTGTTGTTGTTAAGTGCCATCGAGTCACAGGTGAGTCATAGCGACCCTATGAAATAGAGTCCTCAACGCTTGGGTCTTTCATCCTCTCTCCAGGTTCACAGGGTTTCCGGAGGCAAGCTATCACGGAAGTGGATGCCACTCATCCTTCCAAGCTTGTTTTAATCAGGGAGCTCCACCCCACTCTGTCTGCATTGGGTAATCAGCCATTAACACATTTGACACATCAGTGTCCCAGTGTTCAGCCTCACAGCAACCACAAGTTACCCCTGTACAGCAACTTGCACACCAGGGCTATACGAGCTAGAGGAATGTCTGAACAAAAACAATGAAAGACAGGTCCAGGGGCCACAGATTAAAAGTCACCCACCTTTGGCTTGGTAGCATCGCTTTCTGTCCACTGGGGAACACAACTACACCAAGGTCAATTTTTTGTTTTGACACTGAGCTACAGATGCAAAAGATTTTACTACTGGAGGAAACTGGATACCCCAGATCATTCTCAATAATTTTAAAATATCTTATGAATTTCTATTTGAAAATAAAACCTTGGGTTTTGTGTTTTGTTTTTTTTAAGTAAATACATGTTGTCATTAGATGTGACTCATGGAACCATCTCAGGAACAGGTTTGAGGCCTTTAACACCAATTAGTGAAGACCAGATGAGTTAAGCGAGGATATCAAGAGTATCATCCAGGAAGAGTGTAAAAGGTCATTACAAAAACAGAGGAAGAAAAAAACACCAAAATGGAAGTCAGAAGAGACTCTAAATATTGCACTGGAGCACAGAGAAGCCAAAGCAGATGGAAGAATTCAAGATACTAAAGAGCTGAACAGATTTCAAAAGGCCACGTGGGAAGACAAAGTAAAACATTACAATGAAATGTGCAAGGAACTGGAGTCAGAAAATCAAAGGGGCCGAACTCACTCAGCATTTCTTAAGCTCAAGGAACTAAAGAACAAATTCAAACCTCCAGTTGCTATAATTAAGGATGCTTTAGGCAGAATATTAAATGATCCAGGAAGTATTAAAAGATGGAAAGAGTATACAGAGTTACTGTATCGAAAGGAATTGACAGACACAGAAGAATTTCATTCAACAACATATGAGCAAGAGCCTATGGTGATGAAGGAAGAAGTTTAAGCTGCTTTGAAGGAATTAGCAAAAAATTAGGCCCCAGGAATAGATGGTGTACCAACTGACATATTTCAACTAACAGATGCTGCCCTGGATGTGCTCACCAAGTTGTGCCAAGAAATCTGGAGAACCACCACTTGGCCAACTGACTGGAAGAGATCTATATTTATTCCCATTCCAAAGAAAGGTGACCCAACAGTGTGAAAATTATAGAACGTTATCACTTGCAAGCAAGATTCTGCTGGAAATTATCTAAAAACAACTGGAACAGCAGCACATCAGCAGAGAAATGCCAGAAGTCCAGGCTGGGTTTAGAAGGGGTCGTAGCACTAGGGATATTGTAGCTGATGTTAGATGGATCTTAGCTGAAAGCAGGGAATACCAGAGGAGTGTCTATCTGTGTTTCATTTATTACGCAAAGGCGTTTGACTGTGTCTGTGTTTCATTTATTATGCAAAGGCATTTGACTGCGTGGATCATAACAAACTGTGGCGGACTCTGAGAAGAATGGGAATCCCAGAACACTTGATTGTGCTAATGCAAAACCTATACTTGAACCAAAAGGCAGTCGTCAGAACAAGGAAACACTGCATCATTCGAAATTTGGAAAGGTGTACGCCAGAGATGCATCCTATCTCCGTACCTTTTCAACCTATATGCAGAACAGATCATCTGGGAGGCTGGGCTCTATGAGGAGAAGTGTGGCATCAGGATTGGTGGAAGATCTATTAACAATCTGCATTTATGCAGATGACACAACTCTGCTCACTGAAACTAAGGACCTGAAGCACTTGCTGCAAAGGGTAAAGGATTGTAGACTTCAATATGGATTAGGGCTCAATATCAAGAAGACAGAAATTCTCACCACTGGGCCAAGTGGCAGCATCAGGATGGATGGTGAAGAGATTGAGATTGTTGGCAGCATCATGATGGATGGTGAAGAGATTGAGATTGTTCACAGCTTCAGTTTGCTTGGCTCCACAGTCAACATTCTTGGCACCAACAGCCAGGAAATGAAAAGACATACTGTGATGGGAAAGTCTGCTGTTAGGGAACCTTTCCAGGGTACTGAAGAGCAATGGTGTCACTCTGAAGACTAAGGTGTGCCTGATAAAGGCCATGGTCTTTGCAATCACTTGCTATGCATCAGAGAGCTGAACAATGACTAGGGAGGATAGAAGGAGAATTGATGCCGTTGAGCTGTGGTGCTGGAGAAGAGTATTGAATGTACCATGGACTGTTAAGAAAATGAACAGGTCTATCCTGGAGAGGGTTAAACCAGGCTGCTCCTTGGAGGCAAGGATTCTGAGGATTCGGCTGACATACCTTTGGACATGTTGCAAGGAGGGACCAATCCCTGGAGAGGGACGTCATGCTTGGAGGGTGGAAGGACAGTACAGGAAGGGAAGACCTTCTATGAGGTGGATTGATTCAGTGACTGGAATAATCAGGGTGGATGTGTCAGAGACAGTGAGATTAGCACAGGAGAGATCAAGGTTTAGAGCTGTTGTACATATGGTCACTATGAGTTGCAAGCGACTTGATAGCACATAACCAACACAACATAGCAACCCATCATTTAATATTAATTATAAACCAAATGCTGTATCAGAATTTAAGGGAGGCTTAATACAAGCTGGAGTTCACCCTGAGGCACTAAGGCATTCCTTAAGAGTCAACATCTTTCTTAGTTTATATTTACTGAATTCTTCCCTCCTGAGATTAGCATAAGGTAAACAATAAAGAACTATGCCTTATCTGCAAAAGACTTCCCCATGATCCTTTGTTTTTATTTTCTACTCCCTTGTGATTATCCTTTGTTTACCTTCCTGATGATTCTCAATAAATACACAGAGAAGCATGACTTGGGCGCATCAGCCATCAGGACTGCTGGTTCCCGGTCTTTACTTTCTCTTATCTCGTTCTTAGTTGTCTGTCTCATTATTACTTTACCCTAGGTCTGCAACATTTGAGCTGTGGTTCTGGAGAAGAGTACTGAATACAGCATGGACAGCTAAGAAAATGAACAGGTGACTGCTCCTTGGAGGCAAGGATTCTGAGGATTCATCTGATATACTTTGGACATGTTGCAAGGAGGGACCAGTCCTTAGAGAGGGACGTCATGCTTGGGAGGATGGAGGGATAGCACAGGAGGGGAAGACCTTCTATGAGGTGAACTGATTCAGTGACTGGGATAATCGGGGTGGGTGTGTTGGAGACAGTGAGATTGGCACAGGACAGATCAGGGTTTAGGGCTATTGTACATAGGGTCACTATGAGTTGTAAGCAACTTGACGGCACATAACAAGAATGCAACCCATCGCGTAACAGAACAGTGCCCAGTTCTTCACTATCCTTACAAATTTTGCTGTTTGAGCTCATCTTTATATACTGTGTCAATTCATCTCATTGAGAGTCTTCCTCTTTTGCAGCACCCCTCTACTTTATTAAGCATGATGGTCTTTTCCAGAATGGTCTCTCCTAATAACATTTATAAAATATAAGAGGAAGCTTTGCCATCCTCATTTCTTTTTTTTTCTCTTTGTACTTTTAGACAAGTTGATTATTTCAAGCCTAGATTAACCAGGTCTCCAGGAGCAGCACAATTCTGTCCCTACTTCCACCCTCCCCAACTCCCACAACATTCCCAAGGCCCTCAGGGTTACCCCTTCCCTTCTTCCTTTCACTTTGTGCCACCACACTTCTGAAAAGACGCCATCAGGCAGCTCTTGCACGGGCCTGGGGGCCCCTGTCAAGGTGGGCTGCGGCCATGCAGTCAGATTATCTGTTCCTTTTGTTGTTTTGTTTTGAGCCAACACTAGAACAGAGAGAGAAGCCAGGATCAACTCACAAACAGACACAAAGCAAAGAGACAGAGAGACAGTGACTTAGAGGCCGGTCACCAGAAAGATGTCATCAGTGTGGGAAGATGCCCCAGATGGCAAGTTCTCTAAATGGATGGAACCAAATGTTCAGTCACTCTCTCACGCTTGTTCAGTTGGATGGCATTCACGTGGACACTGGGGTGGGGGGAGCTTCTCCAATCAGTCCCAGCCATTGTCCTTGATCATGTGTGCTAACTCAATGATGTATTTGCCTTCTTTATACTTCTGGCTGCTTTCAAAGGCATGTTCATATTTCCAGCCCAGAGTGGTTTTGCAGTTTCCACAATAAATGTCTGCAACTGCATGCAGTCCTGTTAGCAACACTCGCTCTTCTGTGGGCCCACAGCCCACATTAACTACTGAATTAAAGAGGTATGCACATCCTTGACTTCCTTGGAACAACTTGGAAATGAGTTCATCATGATTGGCCAAGTGAGCTCTGCAATGAATGCAGCTGTAGGTCCAGTGGCAGGAGGACAAATATGCCTGGAAAGTCTTGGATCTCGTCATCTTCACCACTGGTGCCGCTGATCGTGGGGTGAACTCCGGGGCAGCCCACGAGGCACCCCGACAGGATGGGTCGCACGGGGAAACACCGGAAGACGCAAGTAAAGGCCTTGGTTTGGCAGGAGGTGGGTGTGGGGCAGGCTCCATACACTGGTGATGTCTTCAGAGGAGGGACCTTCAAACAGAGGTCTAGTTCTCAACAGCCCGGCGCGTTCACCCAGCTGCAGGCTGCTCTGTCCCGCCAGCGCTCGGTACAGTGGCACGGGGCGGCCCAGCTGGATCCCGGGCTCCAGGCGCGTTCTTAAAGCCACTGCCATCCTCATTTCTAAGGAACATTCTGGCTATACATCTTCTGATGGAAGCCCATGGTATAGTTAATATTCTTCCCCAACACTACAATTCAGTGATATCAGTTCTTCCTTCCTTTTCCTCATTCACTGTCCAGCTTTCACATGTGTAAGAAGTAACTGAAAACACAATGGCTTGCATCAGGTGCCCCTTAGTCCTCAAAGTGATATGTTTTTGCTTTAAAAAGATCTTCTGCAGTATCTCTACCCAATGCAATATATGATTTGATTTCCTGACTGTTGTTTCCAAGGGCACTGACTGTGGATCTCAGTAAAATGAAATCTTTTACAACTGCAGTATTTTCTCCATATCCCATAATGTTCCTTATTGGTCCAGTTGTGGTTTTGCTTTATGCTGAAGTGTAACCCATATTGAAGTCTTTGACCTTCATCAGTAAGTACTCCAAATCCTATATGCTTTCGGCAAACAAGATTTTGTCTGTCCACATATCCTGGTCCTACACTCTTCATACAGAGGCCAGCACCTTGGATTATTTGCTCAGAATACAGAATGAATAAGCACAAGGAAAGACTATAACCCTGACACAGACCTTTCCTAATTTTACATCACATAGTATCCCTCTGTTCTGTTTAAACCACTACCTCTTGTTTTAGGTTTTGCACGGGTACAATTAAATGTTCTGGGAATTAAAATTCTTCAAAATTTGTTATGATTATCACAACAAAATGCCCTCACATAATTGTAAAACATTAAATAAATCGGTTCTGGGTTCCGAGTTCTAAGCTCGCCTGCTGGTCCTTCGACCTGTGTGCTGCTCCGCTCTGTGCACCGTGTATGCCTTCTCTCCGCGCCCGCTGACCGTTGGGGAGCCCCTGAGCTCCTGAACCTGGGCTCGTTGCAGGGCAAAGTGCTGCCAAAGCGCTGCTCATCAAGAACGTGGCACCACGGGGCCAGGATGAACGATCTGCAGCGGCTCCTCGCCCCGAGGGTTGGTTGTACTCGGCTTTCCACGCAACCAGTCTGGGCATCAGGAGAACGCCAAAAACGAAGAGATTCTGAATTCCCTGAAGCATGTCCAACCAGGCGGTGGATTCAAGTCCAACTTCACACTTTTTGAGAAGTGTGACATTAACGGTGCTCAGGCATATCCCCTCTCTTCTGCAGGAAGCCCTGCCCATGCCCAGCAAAGATGTCTCTGCACCCATGACCGACCCCAAGTTGATCACATTGTCTCCGGTGTGCCCCAACAACACTGCCTGGAACTTCGAGAAGTTCCTGGTGGGGCCCGACGGTGTGCCTGTGTGCAGGTACAGCCACCAATTCCGAACGACTGACACTGAGGCTGACATCTTGGCCTAGCAGTCCTAAGGCGCTTCCTCATCCCCGGCTGCCTGCCAGGCACCATGCTACCTTCTGTGGGGGTTTCATTAAGGAGGGTGTTTGCTCTAAACTTGAATGGAGAAATGCCTGATGCTTAAGAAAGCTCCCACAGGTGGGTGCTGGTTCCGCCTGTCCCAGCCTCCCCTTCCAGATTAGCACAAATCTCTCTAATAAAGTGCTACGTAGAAGAAGTGTGTGTGTGTGTGTCCTTCAGTGTTGGTCTTGAATACATTTCTTGTAGACAGTAAGCCTTCTTCCCTCCCAATGGCCAAACTTGAAATTCCTTTTGTCTTCAATGTTTGAGATTCACTTTACTCTCTTGTGGGAAGCCAGGCTCCTTCCTATCCCTGTTTTTGTCTTTCTGCTACAGATTATAACAAAAGCCTGTATTTTGAAAATAAACAAGGCAGTGGCTGTCTCTACCACCAAACACACACACACACACACATAAATAAATAAATAAATCTTTCTGGTATTACATGATTTCAGCCAAGATCTATTTGACATTAGCAATGATATCTCACTTTCTTCTCTCATGTTTTCTGAATCTGACTTGAATTTCTGCTACTCCTTGTTGATGTGCTGCTGCAATCATTTTGAAATTATCTTCAGAAAAAAGTTGTATTATATACGTATAAAAACATGTACCTATATCTACAGTTTGTTTTGTTCAAATGACTGTTTTCTGGTCTATATACAGGTTTCCTGGTCTATATACAGGTTTCACATGAGCCTATTAAGTCCTCTAGAATTCTCATTCTTCTCAATGTTAATCATGTTGTTGCTGACTGCCATCAAGTTGAGTACGACTCACAGTGAACCTATGAATAAAAGACCTAAAGTCTTTCTATAACTATGGCCATTTATCAAAGTTCATAGTTTTCAGAGGCATGTTGTTTAGGAAGTGAATGCCACTCCTGCTTCTAAACCTGCCTTAAACTGGGACCTCCACCAAACACTGTCTACCACCAGTAACCCATATGGCATCTGACACTCCAATGGTACAAGTTTAGCCATAATTTACGATAAACATAGTTGAATATCTATGCATATTAAATAAAACATACAAGATCTGATGGTATAGTTCATACAAAGACAAGCTGCTAACCTAAAAGTCATTCTTCTCTGCCTGAATCCACCAGCAGCTCCAAAGGAGAAAGAGAGGCAATCTCCTGTGTGATTTAGAGCCTCAGAAAGCTGATTCCAGCTCAACTGAATGGCAATGAAAGGAATGGAGGGGCTCAAGTCTTCAAGTACCATTCTTTCAAATTTTCTATTAATTTGACAATTTTTAAAAAGTTTGGATATAATTAAATAACATTATTAGATGTTGTTGCTGTGGTATACTGTATAGTCAGAACCAACTCATAGCTGAACTTCCAGTGGGTTTTCAAACGCAGTTTATCTCTGGGGAGGAAATGCCCATAATATTCCTACAAAGCAGCTGGTGGCCTCAAACCATATACCTTCAGGATTGTAGTTCACATTTTTGCCAAAGGCTCTCAGAGCTCCCTATTATTATATAAACAGTAGAATACTGGGCACACTGGAAAAATTGTGAAAGTAGAACTCATGACTGATTAATATCTAGAAAATGCTAATACAGTACTGTTGCATAAACCATTTCACACATTGTACTTCATTTATACCTCCCACATAATCACATGCTTTGTGCCAACTTTCTCTATTTTACAGATGTAAGATTTGTCCAAGGTTATTCAGTGAGAAAAGAAGGTGAGCTAGTGTTCAAGTCCAGAATGCTTTCCAGCCACCATTTTATTACTGCCTCACCTCAGAGTTACTACCAAAAACTAAAATCCTTATAGCAAATATTACTACAGAACTTTACAAAACACTATAGGCTTCTGATACTTACTTCTGGTTAGTCAGATATCTATCCCAGCCCCGAATGATATTGCCATACATCTGAGTGTCCTCCAGATAGCTTCCTTCAAAAGCATAGATCTGCCTTTCCAAGTTTGCCAGTGTTTCCTAGGAGATAAAAATAAGGAAAAGGATAAGGTCTTATAAAACCAAGCTTTAAGTCTGTCCAAACTGAAATCTTGATATTTGCCTTACAAACCTGAATCCCACAACACTCATTTATGTGTGTGGAGAGAAGGAAAATAATGAGGAGGGCCAGACTGTTAAGAACTAAGACAGGCTTAACCTTTTGGAGGTAAGGGGCCCTGGTGGCACAAAGGGTCAAATGCTGGACAACTGGAAGGTTAATGGTTCAGATGCACGAGCCAGTCTGCAGGAGAGAGATGACGCAGTGGACTTTCTTAAAGATTTGCAGTCTTGGAAACACTTAAGGGGCAGTTCTATGCAGTTCTACGGGGGTATGTGAGTCAGAACCCACCGAGTAGTCTAGGGTTTTTTCCTTTTGGGGGGGGGGATCACGATGAAAAGACAAAGGAATATAAAGAGCTTGTCCTTAGGTAAATTCACAACTCATTCACTACCATCAAGTCCATTTCGACTCGACCCTCTACTGGGTTTCCAAGACACTAAATTTCCGAGGGAATAAGTATATTGTCCATCTTTCAAACTCAGAACCCCTTGTGGCTTCTTCCTGTCCGAGAGCTGCAGCCTTTAGGTTAGTGACGCAACCCACTACAGACTATAAGCAAAGCACCAGAGCTCCTTGGATAAACGCATACACATGCAAAATCTACAGATACTTCAGAGGGCTCGTGGACCCGCGGGGGCTCAGAACTTCAACCCAGGCGGAGCACCAGCCTCTTCGCCCACGCACAAAAGGTATCGCTACTGGTGAGACGGAATGGCCAGCAGCCTTCTAGCGCCAACATCTCCCCTCCTCTCCCCGCTGACTCAGAAAAGCCTCCCGTGTTAAGCTGCCGGTTGCTATAGAAACCTGGAAAGACAGCTTCAGGTGAAAAGAGCCTCTTTCCTATCCAAGCCAAATAGCAGGCAAGAGGGGGTTGTTAGCTATCAGGGCTCAAGGGACCCTGGATGCGTTTCACAACTCTCAAGTCCCCAGACTGAGTCTGTTCTCCGCATCTGTCACTGTGTGTACGTCCCCAAACATACCACACCCCTGCCCACCAAAAAACCCATCCAACAGATCTACTTCTAGGTTCCAAAGGACACACCCCCTACCATTCTAAAGAACACACATTTACTTCCACATTTACCTCCTACCCTATGCCCTCAAAACCCACTGACAATCCAGATCCACCACTCACACCACATGGACATGCCTGCCTCCCACTCCTCAAAGATCGAGGGCAAACCTGCCCTCCGCCGCCCCGCAAAGGCCGCGGACACACTCCCCGCAAAGCTTACCAGCGCTCACCTCTCCCGGAGCTCGCACCAGCCTCCCCGCCGCCCCCCGGCGTCTTCCTCCTTCCACGCCCCCCTCCTTCCTCCCTCCTCCCCTCCCCCTCCCGGCTCCTGCGCCCCGCCCCCGGGCCCCAAGGTCCGGCCCCGGACTCCCGGCGCCCGGCTCCAGGTCTGCGCCACCAGGAAATGGAGCCGCCGCGGGCCGCGGAATGCACAGCCCGCTCTCGGGCCGCGAGACTCGGCCTGCCGCGCTGCGGCCTCGGAGTAACGGCCTGACGCCTCCGGCCTGGCTCCCGGAGGCAGAGGCCAGCTCGTAGCCTCAGCTGGGCGCCCCCAGTCGCGACCCTTACCGCCAACTCCTGCTTCCGCTTCACAAGCTCTGCCAGTTCCCGCCGGGTGTCTGGGATCTGCGGCGTCGCCGCCTTGTTGTGCATCGCCATGTTGGGCTGAGGCGGGCGGCGGTGGCGCGCGGCTGGGGGCGGTCCCTGCGTGCCGCGGCTGGCCCGCTAGGGGGCGCCTCGCCGCTGCACTGCGCCTGCGCTCGCGGCTTCCGGCGCCGTGCTGCCAGCGTTGGCGGGCCCTGTCAGTGCCTTTGGCGATTACAAGGTTGACTTAGAGCCTTCTTACTGCTCTTGTACTGCTAGCCGCAGTTCTGCCATTCACTTGACAGCTGGGTTTTTGAGCCACCACAAACTCACCGTGTCTCCAAACATACTTCTTAAAGCCTTTTAAGTCTGCTTCTGAATACCTTTTCTCAGTGAATGGCTTTTACCCTTCAGATCCTGTCCTGCGCCATCCTCACCATTTCTGATATACTACAATCCATTGTTAAATTCACTGTGTTAATCCATCTTTTTTGGGAGTCCCAACTTGACTTGCTTTCCCAAGGACTAACTCTTCTTGACAGCATGCTCAAAGTATATGTTGTTGTTGTTGTTGTTATGTGCCGTCGAGTCGTTTGTGACTCATAGCGACCCTATGTACAACAGCCCTAAACCGTGCTCTATCCTGTGCCAATCGCATTGCCCCCGACACACCCATCCCGAGTACCCCAGTCACTGACTCAATCCACCTCATAGAGGGTCTTCCCCTCCTGCGCTGTCCCTCCACTC